GTAGAGTACAGTTTGTATGTAAGGCATGAATAGTACTATATATGTACTCTAGCTCATGAAAAACAGGCACCGTACATACTACCTGTATGTGTCTACATGTACCGTATGCATTATGTACAGCAGAGTATGTGCGTACATGTACAATGTGCTCACTTTAATGTGCTAGGTGAGGAATACGGAAATGTGCATGTAGACCTACAGATACCAGTATGCATTTCTACAGGTAGTCTGTATAAACATCATAAAAATGCAGAAAAAAAGTACCGTGGAAGAAATTAGAGCTGCTTTTAGTAATGAAAGCCCTACAACAGTAAGGCTGTCTGCATGTACTAGTATACACATGCAATGTTCTTTTACTGTGTATGTACATGTACATGTATGTACACTGTCAATGCCCCGCTGGGGTATTATAGTTAACAATGAGGAAATTTGCTTTGGCAGAAAATCCCAACAGAAATGGCAATTTACATGCACAGCAACCGAAAATAATGGTAAACGCATACAGAGGACCCCTCAAAAGAGTTCCTTGTAAAGATTCCTACTGACTGAGGCCTTTTTTAATACAACGTTGGCATCGAATTGTGAATACATCTACAGGTACAATGTACCTGTACTCTATGTGTGTGAAGTCCCACATAGCAAAGTTTTAGCATTGAACCGAAACACTGTTGAGGGAAATCACCGGGCCTATTTTCAGTGGCTGGCTTTGATTGCTTTCGTCTGCATCATCGGGACCGTAGTCAATTGATGCCTTGAGACTATTTCTTTTAAATGATGGCCCCTCCAACACCACTGCTTGAAAACAACCTCGACTGTTTACAAACTATCACAAAGGGGTTCACACCTACAAGTCTGTGTACAATTATGTGTGAACATCGTCCTTGCCAAACAGCAAGAAAAATTTGAAAGCGCCGCAAAAAAATGGTTCTTTCACAATGAAACATTATAATGTGCTCTCAGAAAATTTGTCTCACTTTCACTTTTGTATGATGTATTTAAACTTGTGTTTATTACCTTGCTCATAGGTACTTTATAACATACACAATTTGTATACCACATCAATGTATGTACAAGAGTTGATGTACTCATTTCTTTTTCCTTGCCTGAAGTTCAAGGCATTAGTTTTTGATGGGAATCAAAAGCTACATGTAGGATAGGGTGTTTTACAACATCGCAATCAAAAATGCTTCAGACGTGTAGATCGTACACATCAAAGCTCTGCTGAAGAAATCAAGTAGAATATCCATCTGAGCTTTAGCAAACTTCCCCGAGACAAAATGCTGGTTTGGTACCAGTGTAGCCTATCAAAGTGCTTCACATACATGTATGCGTCATGTTGCATTTGCTTTCTTCAAATGAAAGACAAATGGTGAAGGCATCCAGGTAGACATGCAGACTGGGCAGTAGATTTCTGCTTGAAATGGTTAAAGCACTTTCTGGTTAAGGAACATAATCTTGTTACGGTGCCCCATAATGTCAGCATGGTATAAGTAACAACTTTTGTGTTCTTAGCTCTAAGCCAATAAAGAAATGGAATCCGTGGGGGGTGTTAAGGGGCCTGTGCACAGAGTATCCATTAACGGCGGCCACGAGAGAGGTATGCTAGACACTGGAACACCAGTGTTTTTTTTTGTTATGCACTTTGTGTCCCCGCCAGGACATTACTGATTTGTACACAATTCAGTTTTGTCCACATAAAACTAGAGTGCACATCTGTGCACAGCCACTAAAACTGTCACAGTCACAACGGCTCCTAATATCCCAGTGGAATCTACAACAAACAGTAGTAGAACTCTGCAAGTCACAGTCTTCCCGTTTCAGTACAACTGTTTTCCTGCATCCCTGGGGATGGAGGCAAAGCTTGAATGTTATGGTACATTGTACACGTACCTCGTCTTCTTGTTCAACAGTACACCAGTAGGCCTCTTGCTCTTGACCAGCCCTGACGCCCTTCTTGGCTCTCGAGTTGTCTTTGACAATCAACCCATCTTTGGTGGCGTAAGCCAGCTGACGTAAAATCACCAAGAACACATGAACAGTATGTTTAAATGGATCTCCTGAAACATCAGTTTTGCGTACAAGTACAAAACTGAAGGGTAAGGTTTGACAACAAAGGGGCCTTCTCTAACACCCATAAACAGGCATGCGACTCTTCAATTTGAAAAAAAGAGGAAAACATTCTTGCATTCAAAACTGCATGTGCGCAGCGTGAAGCCAATTCGGCGTGGGGTCTGGGCCCGCCTTAGGGCCCCGAAAAATTTTGAATTTTACATGCTTTGTGGTGCATTCCATGCCGTCCCCAGTTGAAGTGAAAGTTGAGTGAAAGATATAAAGCTTTTTAAGGCATACTTTACATTAAAAATACACAAAATGCTTCTTATTTGTGATTCTTCTTGAAATTTTTATTATGAGAGGTACATTCTGTAAAATAAAGTTGTGACATAAAATTGATATTCCCACCTGTCTAATGGATCTTTGGATGTTTTCACCCTTTCTATGTGATTTAATCTGGCTCTCTTGGCGACCTTCGCTGCAACCTCTTGTGCTCTTTTTTTGGACGTTGGGGTCTTTGAATGTTGAAGTGGGTGCTGTGCAGTGGCTCTCTGATCTGTTATCTTTCCTTTTCGAAGTCATTTTGAGCTCTGACGTGTGGGTGATCAACGATCACGATGCACGTTGACCATGTTGACAACGTTTTTTCAACATTTGCGGCCAGCCGCGGAAGTGGTATAGTATCCATATAACAACGCATTCATTAACTTCAGGAAAAAATGCGGCACCTGACTAATGGCTTGTCGTCGACAGAGGGCGCTTGCACGTACCGTGCTGAGTCTGTGTCCTGCACTTTTTAGTGCACTTTACGCGTGCACAAAACAAGGGGCCAGACAAGGTTTTTGTGCTCATTAATGTGTACCGAAAAGTGGAACTCCGTGCGCCGCGGCGAGAAAAGAAAAAAAAACCAAAACGCGGATACTATTTTTGTGCAAACGGATTTTTAAAAAACGCGGAAATCCGCGGATCCACGGAAAAGTTGCATGCCTGCATAAAACAGTACTTTTTCTCGTTTCACTGCTTGTGTAACACTTACAGAAATAGCTCAGGCTGTTACTTTCAATATCTGTCTGCTTCTCGGAGGGGGCTTGTATTTCAGCCCAAATGAATCACGTAAAATGTTACTTTTCTCAAATCAATGCACAAGTAAACCCAACTCAACCTTCCGGACAATATTCAGTTGAACAAGAAAAATTTATTAAGTGGGGTTTGACCCATTTCTAATTAACAGAACCACAGCCGAGCCTTGTGTTTGCGGACTCCAGAAATGTCAGAGTCTTTATTGGAAGAGCTGCCGCATGTAAGAGGCCAGTTACACTTCCTAGCACGAGGGAGAGTAACCCCAGCATTTACCTGTTGCTGCGTCTCCTTGGCAGACACACCATACTCGCGCTTCATGAACTTCAAGATACGCTCCATGTTGGCCACCTGCTTCTGGTTACGAATGGCCGTGACAGCCTCCCATAGCTGCTGGACAGTGTGGGGATTGGACATCCGCCGCGAAGTCAAAATGGGCGCCATGATGATCTGCTCCGACTGATTTCTATAGAACAAACAAGAAGACTCCTTAAATAGAGAAAAAGGGCTGATACATGACTAAATGTGTACATACAGTACAGGACTGTACAGTGTTCATGCATGTACATGGATGTCTATGTACGGTACGTATGTATACTACAGAAAAATAGTATTAACATAAGGGAGTTTAACTTCTTCACATTACATATACATAAACAACACTTCGAACATGTAAAGCAGTTATCCAATGCATGTATCTGTAGTCCTGGTACTTATATTCATATCCAATCAGGCTGCAACAAAAACACCACATTGGCTGCATCAAGATCTTCTACATAGTTTTTATAGTTACACTGTATAGGATTCGCACATGTACACGATATTTGCATCAAGCGAGCAGACTTTGGAAAGAGCTGGGAAACAAACAAAATAGGCCTATACGTATATTATACTTCCTTTTTTGAAATGTTGTAGAAAACATGTTGAGTAACATGTATGATTTTTTCATCCAAGTTTACCTCAAGGTCATATGATCCACAATGTCTATCCAAGGTCAAAGTAAAGGTCAAAAGGTCATCAAACTTCAAATTGCTTTTACATAAAAAAATTTTTGAATTCAAATTAATTCCTTACAGAAGTAACCAGGGTCATTTGAAATATGGCAGTCAAGCCCATTTTGGCCAAAATAGGCCCAAAATGGTGGCCCGTACATATGTAGCTCAAAACCATAGATTTGACAGGGCTGAAACTTGAAATTTTTGCCTTTCCAGCCAAAATTACTGTATTTTTAAACCAAAACTGAACCAGTTTGAAGGGCGTCAGGATTAAAATTCTACTGTGGGACGGGATGATTTGACATGGAATGACCCTATGAGTGACTTTCCCTGATTTAAAAATGAATTCATTGTCCACTTACTGGTACATGGGCAAGTATACAAATTAATGTACATGTACTGATAAATGACACACTAAGGCTTTAAGTCTAAACATGTACAGGAAAGAGACAACTTAATACATACTTGTGAATAGTGGTACACCAGTACATGCAAATGTGCACACACAAATACAGGATCCCTCTTGTAAAACAAGCACATTCCTATTCACTTAAATGCCTTGTATATGAACATGTACATGTACCAATATATGTGTAATTCCAGAAATTAGGGTCCATTCTTTTGATGTCCCTGTCACATATGATTTTGTAAGTTCAGAACACATTTTCTAATTTCCAAAAGTGGTAGATTAATGCAAATTACCTGCAAAACAAATAGTACTAGTTTGAAATCAATGCCGACGATATTTCCATGTCACACAACAAAGGTCAGATGTAGCAGGACCTAAAAATTTCACACTTTTGGACCCCTAATTTATGGAATTACCTGTATGGTACACATGCATACCATCATGTTTTTCACCAGGATGCACCTGCATAGGGAAACATGTACATGTACATGCAATATCAGGATGCTGTAGGGCTCTACACCTGTACAAAGCACACTCACACATTTAGGCCTATGTGTACTTATTACCAGGTTATGGGGTCTACACATGTTGAAATGGAAATGTTGTGGGATCCAAACACATTATGGGGGGAAAAAAATTTGTTCCAGCAACACAGTTCTAACTTTCCAAAATGGAATCAACTGCCTCAATCTGGCAAAGCCTGTGCATGTACATCTATACATGTACATGTTGCGTATGATAAGCATGATCTGCACACAGATCTGGAGGAGAAAGATCTTCTTCTACCGTGTACACATGCAGCACTCCAAGCTCCATGATCAAAATAACCAACCTACCCAGTGTCCAAAGAGTTAACCTCACATGCCAAACTTCGTACATGCGGATGCGTAGTATGCATTTCTTTCTCCAAAAGTAAACTTCAGTTATGTACATGTACGCATGTAATATATTCCACAAAACTCAATGTATTTTAAGCATGCTTTTTACGTGACAAACAGGAAATGACAGCATCAGTTTATCCTTTCCTTGCACAGAACAGACACATGCCAGAAAACTTCACTATGTACTTCACCCTTTCACCTTTTCTTTCTCCTTGAAATCAAAAAATATACATTGTAATATTCAAGGCGGTCCGCCCTGTTCCTATAATGGGCCAACTGCCACATGCAGCCCACAAAGGACAGGTGTTCAGCTGACATAACCTTGACAGGGTGCTCCCCCAAGGATGCTGCTCCACTCCAAAACCATACAAGACTTGGTTTAGCGGGCGAATTCATTGTGTGCATAATCATGCATGCATTTCGACACTGGCAGATTAAGAGCTTGGTGTTTTTTCAGAAGGTTAAACCTGGTCATGAGGGAGGCAATGTTGTACACTGGCACCGCAGTGCAGAATGTACAAACAGTCAGTAGTCTTTTCAGTTAAAATCCATGCATCTGACTCTGCATCTCATTACATACACGTACTGTCCTTGTACATGTACACAAACAGTACAAAACCTGTACACGTTCCCTATGCACCGTATCAGATGCTGACACTTGAACGAACAGAAATTGGTGTTTTGAGACTATTATTAAAAACAAATCTGAATTACTGTAAGCTTGCATAACTTTGCATATTGGACTTGGAAAGACACAAACACCTGAACAGAGCAAAGGATCAAAGCAACAAACATCATTTCCTGTAGATCTCTGTTATGCTACGCGTGACGCCAATTACCAGTATGTACATGTACATATACACATGTACAAAGATCTGCCCAAACAAAACCTAAATAAACTGCACTTTAGGGTTAAAAATTAACTACTTTTTTCCCTTTAAATGGAGCGTCGGAATGGTTATAATATTATAAATGTATTTACAATGATACATTTTCATATGCGGAGTACACAATCTCAAGCAATACTAAAGTACAAAGGTACATAAATACATAGGTTAGCCATATTGTTCATTAACAATGTGTAAATGTACATGAGCAGACATGTCCATCATGTAATAGGGCGGGCTTTGGGGGAATCCATACCGGTACAAGGTTACTGCTAAACCAAAGGTTACAGGTCATCTTCACTGAATCAGCTTCTTCAAAGATGACCCCAAAATCCAAGTACCGGTAAATACGGTCCATCCCCAAATTCTGCATTTTAAAATCTTTGAGCAGTTTTTGCATAAATTAACCCCAGCCCCCTAGGCCCTTTTTGCTAGGGACCCTCCTCAATCCTCCAGAATCCTCCAATATGGTGGGTGAAAAATTGCATTCTCCCTCAATCTTCCAAAATTTCTTGGAAATGTTACTCAGATGTGTGCCTACCACCTCAATCCTTCAAAATCCTCCGGCAAATTCCTGTCATTATGTTGAGGCAGAGAGAATGGCATTCTTGAGCAGTGCGGTACATTAAAAAGAAATATCAAGCTGAATTTATGCATGATTACCCACAAACAACACAAGGTCTAACCCACGACCTCCATGCATGGCATCCTTCGCAATCAGCCATGCACTTTCACCATTCACCCTCAATCCTCTAAAACCGCCCGAAGGATTTTAGAGGATTGAGGAGGGTTAGGGTTGGAGACAAAGAAACTATTTGCGAAAGCACCACTTGTCACTGTAAAACAAGTACATACACGAACAAGTACTGAAGTGAATGCATACAAGTACATGTATACATGTACATTGCGTCCACAAGTACATGTACGTGTGGACAGGGATTCACTCTTCAAGTATCTGACCATGGAGAAAAAAGACACAGACTGTATCTTTTACATGTATTTCTCCATGATCTGACGTCAAGAACTTACTCCATGCACTCTCCCTGAGGGCAATTTTTGCTTAAATTAAAGTTGTCAACAGTGAACTTGTGCGTACAACAGAATGACAAACCTGCCAGTCCTCAACTGGTCTTCTACAAAACAGGGCGACATGCACACCACACGCTGACCTCTTTGGCTTTATTAGCCACCATTTTGACTTCTGTTATGTTCAAATTACTGGCAACAATTTTCACATGCCGCGCCAAAGCTTGTAGGATATTCACCTGCAGCTGGAAACAGCTTTTGCCTCAAGAGGAATTTAAATTGCACACAGTGACTAAATGGGAGACATGTACTGGTGCATGTACTTTTATTTAGTATCACATTCTTATTCAGTGTTTTAAGCTGTGTGAGATTTCGTAGCACTTTTAAGAATCACTTAGCTGAATTCCTGATGACCAGCCATATAATGCAATTTAGCTACAAATTATCAATGAAACGTTGACTACAGGATTAAGGTTTCATTTACTTTCAATTTCAAAACTTTGCCTCCTAAATTACTCCTTTTTTCGCCAAAGGGAGGCCCAGAGGGCTGTCGTCACCCCTTTCCCCAGCAAAAACTATAAGCATCAAAATTACAGTATCTACTGTTCATGTAATGTGCTCCCTTGCTGGTACTGTGTCCCCCCATGCCCAAAGCTGACACGGGCAGCATCCATGCTTTCATTGTGCAACCCATTTTCATAACTTACATGTATGTCATTACCGGTAGGTTGAATTATGGAGTAGGCGGAATGAGTGTGTGCTACATATAAACATACATCATACTAGAGTGTGCGCTGTGCAATGTACATGTACATTATGTGCACATGTACAAATGTATCATGTACGTGTAGACATTCACTTTTTATGAATGGCTCTTCCTTAAGTTACGGTGTCCGTTTTGGATACACATTCCCTATGGAAATGACCATTGTACAGACATTGTCACATTCAGAGGCAGCCACTTTAAATCAGAAACAGCCAACCACTGGGTGATTTTCGACTAGTAATCTACAACTGTATGCTAGTCATAAGATACCACGAAAAATCCCCAATGGTTGCTGACCAAACTTGGCCAGTTGTTCTGCAGTCAATGAAAAACTTCATGGGCACAGTAAGCAAGGTACAGACAAGTAAGTAAACAAGTTTGCTTTCAAAGAAATGATCATGAATACTAATGAAGTCTCAGTAGTTCATCTTTGACAGGTTGGTAAAAGAGATGCATAGCCCATTAGAATTGAGTTGGTTCAATTTTTCCCTTACTGAATAGGCTTATCTGTCATAAAAAGACACAGATCAGGTGAAACTCGGGCACCACTGCTGAACACCCCACCACTTACATATCCCACCTCATTGTCAGCTATGGGGTCACAGTTACATGTACATGTAACTCCCCCTACCAACAGTGAAATCTGATTCTGTTGCCTTGTAGCTGGTCAGGGGTCGGGTCGTCCGTCTCAAATTAGGACTCATCAATCACTCTCTTTAGGGGAAGAGTGCAATATAAAATATGCATGTACCGTACTGATATCACTTATTTTCCCTTGAAGTGGTTTCTAAGCCATCAAAAAGTGATAACATGTCCTAAAAAGTCACATTTACCAATGAAAATATTGAACCATTTACTAAGAAAACGCCTACACTTTTTCACACTAGTCTCACAGAATTTATGCACAGGGTGTTCACGTAAGAGTATGGAACTCTCTCTGATTTTTTCTTTGACATCTCCATGGCAACATGTACATTGCCACCAACAGACACGACACTTGCCAGAATGATCAGGTACATGCTGGCCTAGATCTTTCCAATTTTTCTTTGGTCATCCTCAAGCCAAATGGATCACAGGGCACCTCTTTCAATAATTGTGCAGCCAGACATTATTAGGGTTTATGGTGAAGTTTTATGTTGTTTGAGCAGGACACATACTGGTACTAATTAATTGCAGAATGCCCCATTCTGCAATTACTTAACTCTGGAATTTGTTATTTTGGTGGTGGCAAGTCATGCAATTACACAGTGGTTGGGTATGGAATACCGTTGTTGAGTGGAATCTTTGAAAGTGCAATTTGTAAATTTTGCGCAACCACAGACAGTGCCACTAAAATTTTGCACAGCAATAAAATTTGCATGGTACGTGAATCACAGGCAACTGTCATATGTTAGAGACTGACATCAACTATATGTTCTGCACATTTATGCCTCAGGTCCATTGTGGGTTCCATTTCTGCGCATGATCTGTAGTGCATGTAAAGCGTGGCACGCACATGTACTTACAGGCCACGGGTATAGGCCGGTCACAACCTGTCGGGCAAAATTTCACCCCAGGCATTCATACAGTGTGCAGCATGAGAAGTCAGTTTTATTGCCAGTCTTGAGAGGAGACTAATCTCAACTTGGAAGAGCTATTATGTTCTCCTGTTGACATTTAATTCAGACTTCTCTCTACAAGAATGCTTAGAGCCATTAATTAGGAACAAAATCTGCAATAAAAGTAGGATTCCAGACAAAACAATAAGAGAAAATAACAATTTTGAAACAACACCAAAACTTAATAGTTCATACTAAAATTTAAGCCTCCACAACACACTCGGAGCAGTGACTTGGATTCTCTGCGAGTCAACTTCTGGCATGCATGGCATGTCTTGGAAATAGCTATGGAACTAGGGCCCTCGTCCGTCATGCCTGTCCACCTGAAAAGTACAACACTGCCCCAGCAGTGGATTCCAATGCCTAAGTGCAACAAGAACAAATTTACTCAAGCGTGAATGAACAGTCCTGCCATGAAAATCACACTGGAACAGAATAGTTCATTTGTATCGTCATTACCATGATTTAGTTGTTATGTCGTGTCTGTTGTGTTGTCGACGGCGTGACGTGTGTACTGTGATGGAAACGTACACATGACAAATTTGCCGTTATATTTCTTGTAGAAGTACAAACACATATCAAACCTGCCATTATGGTTACAACAGGTCTACAAGTATGAACAAGGCAACTTGATAAAAAGTCACTTTTTCGTTGAATTTCTTACCAGTAATTTTTCGACTGCGCACTGCTGATGACATCGACAGCATATTAGCAATAGCAGCTGCCGCTTTCGCATACGTGATGGTCTGGTTTCCGGTCCAAGCTGCTACGTGTACGTACGTACGGGCACGACGTACTGTACATGTACATGTACATTTACACGCACGGACTGTACGCCTTCACAGGAAGATGTGTACAACCGGGTCCAGACTGAGACTAGTCTGTTCAAGGCAAATTTACGTATGCGCTATGCACACGCCACACGCGCGCCCTGCTTTGTTGTTCATAACTTTGCGGTCGTCACATAACCCTGGGGTTTTATCTGAGGACAACGCGCGAGGGCGCCATACGATAACAGATATTAAAATGGTTCCTTGACTATTTTGCTCTACCAAGTTATTGAAAAAGCGGTTCCTTTCCGCCTCCTAATCGCTCTTCACACTTATGGCAATACACTGCTGAATACAGTGGTGTTGTTGGGGTGGGGGGCAACGACCCTCCCTAGGACACCGCACTTAAAAGTGTGCCGAACGCGAGATCCAACAGTTTCGAAAGGGGGCGCCATTTGTGCTTAAGCGTTTTCACCGGACCTTGGCAGCCAATGTGTAGATTACAACGAGTGAGAAAGGAACATTCTCACCACAAGTCTGGTTTGTGAGGTCGAGAACCACCATTAAATGTGCATATTACAGACCAATCATAAGACAGGAAACCAAGGAGTAATTGTAGAATACCCCGCCACTCTAAAAACGACCTTGGAATGACTGGTTATGTGAGTACAAGGTGAAAATCCCCTGAAAAGAGAGTGGCGCTTTGACCTGTACCTGGCTATGAGGTTGATCATGCGGGTGGCGGGGTATTTTGCAATTGAGCTGAAATGAAAACCGTTTGGGAAAAATTCGCTGCCGGCCGGGAAAAAATACAGATTCAATCAGTCTTGGGATTTATTTCTTGGGGCCAATTTCATAGAGCTGCTTAAAGCACACAATTTGCTTAAGCAAAATTAAAAAGCTTGCTTAAAAACAAAGGTTACCAGCAGCTCAAAATCTATGCGATTGTCACGCTTACCAAAAGACAGGTGAATTTTGGCTGGTAACCTGATTTGTCATAAAAAGTTTTTTTCACATTTAATGAGCTCGGCGGACATATTTAGGGCCTTTTTGCGACGGTGCACCCATTATAAAATCTGGACTTGTTATCAGGTTATAGAGATCACTGAATCCACTCGCGGCCATTTTACCGAGCCGAATACAAAGCTTTCCGGGCAGTGCCCGCCTTTGTTCTTCCTGACGTCAATAGAAGGGAGCCAACCCACGTATTTGTATTCGGCTCGTTAAAATGGCCGATGGTTGGCTTCTTCTTCATACAAAGGCATTACAAGTCCAGTTTTTTTATATACATGTTCGTATATACGTCCGTGGCAGTAAGTCCGACTAAACGGCGCGGATAAGCCAAGTGGACCCCCCGTCCGTGATATATAGTTATTCATAATCGTATATGAACGACATGATCTTGCATAATGTATACGGAATTTTCACCAATCAATGAAGTCAGACTTGCAGACTCGTTTATTATATGCAGGTATGAACGATGTAAAAACAAGTCCGGCACTGTGGTCGGCTGCTATCACTTTGGGTACTGTGGACAAACGATTCGTAAAGTCGGGATTTCTGAACTGAACTCATAATAAGTGGACACAAGAGGGCGCGAAGCAAGTAACAGCGCGCGGTCTCGATATGTATCCAAAGCATGACTGAAGACGCGTTACAGAGATCCCGACCTGGGTCAAATGAGGTTCGGATCAGATGTAACAGCAGATACCGCGAACAGTCCGCTGTACCCGCTGCTACATAGTATACGGTGTTAAAATACACGTCGACGAGCAGGGCGAAAATCCAAAATTAATTTACATCTCCCCGGCGCAAATCCATCTTTGAAATAGCTCAATTTTTTGTCAGAAGCTTCCTGGTTGAACGATTGTGGCTGAATTAAGTTTCGCACAAGAAAGAAGCGCTCCACCTGCTTTTTTCACATAAAAGGGTGGGGAAACCTTATTTGAATAGAGGCTATAATCGCACTTCTGCAGGACATTTTTTCCCATGGGAAGTAAAGTCTGACATTTTCAAAAAGGGAAGACTGGTCTCATGTGGAAGCAATGAACCATTACTTTTTACCAAAAAACCATTCCCGATTGTTTACAGCATCCCTTGCCTTGCTAGCATAGCGCTAGTCTCTGTTTGAGTTTGAGGGGGATGCCTGTGGTCACGTGGTCCGTCGTTCGCGTTCTTTGTGGTTCACAGCAAGATGGAGAACTAATTCGTTTACGCAACAGGCGCAGGCGCCACGACAGGAACACACACCTATGCCTGCGCCTATACATTTACGTTCACACTCAAATGGCGCCTACAGTCATTAAGTATAGCGCAGCTGTTTTCCAATACTCTATTCGGCCCCGTCGCAGCTGTGGCTTCAACTGTTTTTTAATAGCTGCCTTTGAAGCTGTAAGCGCAGTAATTAGTCTAATAGTGCCACAAAATATCAAATAAGATGCAAGAGAGCCAAAAATTACTGTAATCCAATTTAATTTTAACGCTTCAGGTCCACAATCGGGGATTGATTTTGGGAACGAAGCCTCCGACGGAGACGAAGTTGAGTATTGGAAAACGGCCCATCTTTGGTCATAACACCTTCTAGTCTAGTTCCCTGCCCAGAGATTCCCTGACGACTCGGAGTCCAGTCCACTAATTCAAGCCCATTGAAAACAGTGTAAAATCAGAACCGTCGGGGCCCAATAGCA